TTTTTTTTTTTTTTATGTAAAAACTGAAAACTAAAGATACGCAAACCTGATTTAGGGATCTGATGCTCTGATAGATGATGAGAACCCCAAAGAGAACAATGAGACCCACAGCACGACAAGGGATTTCTAAACTCCAGGAAAGCTAAATCAGGTTTATAATAGGACCTTGACCCATTGTTTATGTCGCAACAAGAACCAAAGGTAAAAACCTTGACCCGTTGTCTATGACACAACAAGAACCAAAGGTATAAAGTTGGTTGACGCCACACCCTCGAGCGATTAAGAACGAGAATGATAAGTCAGGTTAGAACGCCACAAGAATAATCTTGATAAGTTCTGTAAAGTTCTGAAACAAACCAAAGAGAAAGTTCTCTCAAAACCCTAAGCCCCTAATCATAATAACCACGAATTTGGCCTTAAATAAATGAATGTTCAGCCCAAAATAATATAAAAAACATGAAAATCACTAAAAGTAACCTAAAGTAACATGAAATATCAGTTTGTTACAAATTGCGACAGAATTGCGAGATTGACGCACACTGTGTAATTTAGCATAAATGACCTCAATTAAGCTTCTCTTGAATCTGAATGATGTTTATCATGCCTTGATTATCCAAGCTTCGATTTACTTCTTGCATGTTGTTATCAACCCAGATCTGCTCTATAAGGCCATTTAAAGCTTCTTGCATCTTCCTAGCTCTAGCTCTCATGACTAGACCTCCTAGAATGTGTAATGGATCTCTTGAGGTGGTACATGTGGGGTCATCTTGATTCCCATCAACTCTCTCACAGAATGGCACTCAACGCTCGTGTTTTACACACTGTAGAACTTGGCTTTTCTGTCAAGTGTTGCTCACACCTCTTGCCTTTTTCCCTCACTCAACTTTCCTTTTTCAGTTCGTTATTGAACTAAGCAAGCTCAATTCAAGTTATTTTGCAGCAATCTAACTCCAACAAATCTGCAAGAGTTAAAGGAAATAGAAAGACACAAAGGAACAACAAGAAAACCAATAAAAGAACCAAACCTAAACAAATTAAAACGAAGAGATCAGTTCAAGCACTTCCTAGTAGGAATTGACTTGAGTATTCCTTAATGCAGTAGGATTCCTAACTTAGGAAGGAATAAACAAAATTGCTATCTCCTTGTTTGAATAGAACTCAAAGAGAATTTCCAACTCCTTATTGGAGTAGGATTGCTTCCTCTTTAAGGATTTGGCCACAGATTTCTTCTCTATATAAGGAATTCCAACCACAGAATTGTGTTGCTTGTTTCTCTCTCTCCTTTTTTTTTTGCATCTTTTCTTCTTCTTCTTTTTTCGGCAATCCTCTTCCTTTTTTTTTTTGTATGACTTTTTTCTTTTTGTTTTCGTGCTTTTTGTCTCTCTCTCTCTCTCTTTTTTTTTTTTTTTAAAACCAGTAACACAGATTCAGAAGAGCAAAATAAGAAAAAGAAGGATGACACTGATTTTTTTTTTTTAAGATAAAAACTGAAAATTAAAAATACGCAAACCTGATTTACTTGTTGCATGTTGTTATCAACCCAGATCTGCTCAATCAGGCCATTTAAAAGCTTCTAGCATCTTCCTAGCTCTAACTCTCGTGACTGGACCTCCTGGAATGTGTAATGGATCTCTTGACGTGGTACATCTTGATTCCCATCACATTAGTAAGGACATTAAAACTTGGGAAGATTGTTTGCCACATGTTGAATTTGCTTATAATTGTACTGTTCATTCTGGTACTAAATTTTCACCCTTTGAAATTGTGTACGGGTTTAATCCATTAACTCCATTGGATTTATCTCCTTTACCAATTTCTAATGTGTGTTAATTTAGATGGCAAAAAGAAAGCTGATTTTGTGAGACAATTTTACGAGAAGGCAAGACTCAACATTGAGCGAAGAACAGAACAATATGCAAAGCAAGCCAACAGGGGGCGTTCTAAGCTGGTCTTTGAACCTGGAGATTGGGTTTGGTTGCACATGAGGAAAGAAAGATTCCCAGCACAAAGGCATTCCAAATTGCTTCCAAGAGGAGATGGTCCTTTCCATGTCTTAGAGTGCATCAACGATAATGCTTACAAACTAGATTTACCAGGTGAGTATAATGTTAATGCCACTTTCAATGTTACTGATTTGAGTCCTTTTGATGCAGTAGACGATTTGTGGACAAATCCTTTTCAAGAGGAGGGGAATGATGTAAATCCAGGTTTGACTTTAAAGGATTCAATTTAAGTTCCCGTTGGACCAGTTACAAGGGCAAGCTAAGATGTTCAAGGAAGCGCTTAACGGCCTGATTCGAGAAATAGGGACTCAAGCAAATTTGTGGAGGCCCATTGAGGGCAGTCCACGTGAGCCTCATAATTTTACATCAGCCTAATCCAAGCCAAGCCTCAAATCTTTGCAAGTAATGGTCATGAACTTTGGGCATGAACTCAGCAAGCATTTTGGCTCAAATTTATTACTTTCCTTTTTGGGTTTTGGCTTGCATGCCAAGTTTTTCTTTCTTGGGTTCTTGGGTTGAATTACACAATTTGCGTCAGATCAGCCACAGTTGGCCGCAAACTAATATTTCACAATGTTCTTAGGTTATTTTAGCTTATTTTAACATTTTTTGTGTTATTTGGGCTAAACATTCATTTAGTTGAAGCCCAAATTCATGGTTATTATGGTTAGGACCTGGTTTGTTAGTTTCCTATTCTGGTTAGGATTAGTTTTAGCTATTTATAGGGCTGCAACCTTAATTGTAAAACAGATGATTATTGATCAACATTGTGAGAACAAATTCTCTCTGGTTCTTTGAACAACTTTTCAAACTTATCGGAATTATTTGTGGCGTTCATCCTCCTCGACTTATCAATCAACCCTTTCATAGTTGATTGTGGCGTCTTCTCCATACCAAGGTTCTTATCTCATCATAGGTAACGGGTTGCGGTTCCATCGTCTTGAACTTGTCTTAAAAACGGTCTTGGTGCCTTGTCTTGTTTACAGGTTTCGTCACAGGTTGACGTAGTTCATATCAAAAATTTTGTTGGAACTTTTAGTTCAGAATCTGACTAGAATTTGCCTCAAAAGTGGCCAGAAATCTGTTGTTAACTTCACTCTTGTATCACTGTTTGTGAACCACATTGTGAGGCTTTTCTGTTGTCGGTTGCCCAATTTGTTGTTCTATCCTAAAATAATTGCTTGACTTCTGCTCTTGTTTATCCATTTCTATTGCTTCAGTTCCAACATGTTTTGCTCTTGAAAAATTATACATATCTGCTGTTTAAAAACATGTATTGTTACTCAATTTTATACTATAAAAACAACACCTGTTCACATGATTTTTCTACACATAAATCATGCACAAAACTATCTAGATTATTAATTATATTTAGCTATTGCATTTCTATCCAATTTTGGCTTGTATTCTACCCTGTTTTACTGTTATCTTTTTGCCCAAAAATCCTTGTTGTTTAGAGCTTTTTTCTTTTTTTTTTTCCCAAGCATTTTGGGACTGTTTTAAATAGCAAAAACCCCCACTTTGCTACCCAGTATTTCTGCTAGTGTCTAGGATAGTTAAGAGCTTGGTTTCTCACTATTTCTACACTTTATTTTGCCCGAAAATTCTGTTTGGAAAACTTGCTGCTACATGTGATATTTGGAGCTATTTTAAGCCTATTCTAAGTATGATTAAAAATAGAGATGATCGAGAAGTGTAGGAAGAAATTGTTTCTTGGTTATAAACTTGATAGGATTAGAGACCAATTTAGTTAAATGGAGTATGTTGTAATTTTGTTTATTCATGTGATGTGGTATAGGTTTTAAATCACCCCAACAACCTTAAGTTTTTAAATACTTGCTTGTTGTATACCTATAAGGTGAAGTAAGTAAAACTACAGTAAATGCCTTTAGATTTTAAGGTAAAGGTTTTAAAAGTACATTTGAACTGTTTTTGAGCTGGTGGCTGGACCTAAACTGATTTTTATTAGCACATGAGCATGATTGGTTTGAAATGAAGTTGTTATTATTTTATTGAGTTGAGCATGCCTATATGGAGTTTACTTGTTTGTTCTAGAAATCTTAAATTGGTTTGTAAGTTATGATTTTCCTATTAACTCATGCATATTTGTAAATTATGAATTTTCTTGTTAACTCTTGCATGTTTGTAAATTATAAATTTTCCTATTAAACCCTTGCATGGTTTTGTCTCCAATATGATCATGATTCCTAAAGCCTTCCAATGGGAGTTGTGAACGCTAGTATATGTTGACATGTATATCTGTAGGACCACTTCATTCTGTATTCCTATTATTCCTACCAGTGGGATAGTACACTGGTTATTCCTAATGCTTGCCAGTGTGAACTTATTAAACACTAGCAATGACTATTGAGTTTTACTCTACGTTAATGGTTTATAACTAGGATTTTTCCCTTGGTTTATGTTTTAAATTGTTTATTTGGCATGCTTTAACTTTAAATAACGGCTACCCATATTTTTACTTAAAAAACTATCTCACATAGTTTTTTTCCTCATCAACCATTTTAGGTAGTGAAACTAGAGACGCAAGGAACCAAGGGGAGTGAGGAGCTGGAAGGCTAACCATTTATATTTTGGACTTAGTTCATTTTGGAGATAGTCCTGCTAGACTACTCACTTTGGACATAGATTTATGAGATATAGATCATTCTGTAGGCTAGATTTCCCTTGGATTGTAAAAGCTAGATTTTATTTTGAGATTGTGGATCTTAGTTTAGTGGATTGCCAAACATGAATTAAACAAGTTTTGAGCCTTGTGCATTTGTGGGATCCTCTCACAAGTGTACGGTGTCTGTTTTGCTTCCGGTTTTGGGGCGTGACACTGACACTCTAGCGAAGATATGACTTGAAGTCTACACTCTAGTCTTATATCTACATCAATTAGAGTCATCATTTGAGTATTTCTAAACTATATTTATTATCATAACCCAATGTTAACTAGGGCTAAATAATAATATTGGAAGCCAATGGACAATTTTTGTAAAAGCATGAAACCTGAGGTTGAAAGGAAGAATTGGCAAAATGACATCATTTTGTATGTAGGCTACAATAAAAATAAAAGTCCAAGGTTTAGCCGAACCCTAGCCTTCCAAAACTCATGATTCTTGTTTTCTTATGCTTTGTTGCCACCCATTGTCCAAAAACTCACAAATTCTTCTTGGTTTATCCCTAAATCTACACAAGTTGGGATAGATTACGACATTAATATGTAGAAATTTGCATATTAGAAGTCTTTGATAGGGATCACAGAAGAAGATTTCGAAGTTAATTCAAATTGGGGAGTCCTGATCTTTAAGAGGTATGAATCTAGCTTTAAAAGAGGGAAGATGCGTGAAGAACTAGTTTTCTTAGAATTCCAACTTTGAATAGAGTTTGATTATTTTCTGTAATTTAGGGATTTGGATTAGAACTTAGAATGAGAGAAGGATTTAGGTTTTTATTCGTAATTCAAGACTTAAAGTTAGAAAAGGATTTGGTTTTTTTCTTGTTTGTCTATAAAAGGGGCTTTGACCAACCAAGGAAAGGAAGAAAAAAACAAAAAGAGAGAGAAATCTGGGAGATTGAGAGAGAAAAAAAAAAAGAGAGGAGAAAGGCGAATAAGAAAAGAGAGAAGAAACTGGGAGGAAAGAGAGTTTGAAAATGAGAAGAGAGAGAAAAGAAATTTGGAAGAAAGACAAAGAAAACCAAGGAAAAGAAAAAGTGTAGAAATTTTGAAAAAAAAAAACAGAAATAGAGAAAAAAAAAAAAGAAGAAATGGAGGAGAAAAAAAATAGAAATGCAGGAGAAGGAAGAAATTTGGAAGAATTAGGAAAAAAAAAGTGCAGAAAATTGAGAAGAAAATTGAGAGAAAAAGTGGGTAGTCATAGAACTAGAAGAAGAGGAAATACAAAAGCTTGTATTTGGAATTTCAAGAAAATAAAGTTTAATTTTTATAGGTTTGCATCTTTTGGAACATTTTATTCTAAATCCGGTGTTTCTATTTTTGCCATATATTTTTCATTGAATTATTGGTTTGGGTTTGTTTATAAATTTTGTGAATTTTCTTTTGCCATTTGTTCTATTATTCCATGGGTAAGACTATAATTTAACATAAAAGAATAAGATTTTGCTCTCACAGTGGCATGGAGGAAACTTTTATAATGCATAGAATTGAAAAAAATAACATGGGAGAATGGGAAATAAAAGATGATTATAGAAACATTGATTTTTTAATGTTTGCTATTGCTTGAAGTTTTTTAGTGTTATGTTGAATTTTTTTTTGAGTGTTCTATTGTTGTTGCTCGTGTGTAAATTGTTTTGCCACATGTGGGAATTTTGGTTTAAGTTAAAATTTTTTCATTGGCTTGTTACTCAAAGAAAATTTAGTGAAATATTAAAAAAGTAATTGACATAATCAGAATTTAAATTGTGTATTTATTCTTTGTTAATTAAATTCTTTTTCTCCCTTTGCTTAAATTGATTGAATTTCTTTTTGTCATTTTATTACAAATTGAAAATACCCTTGTCACGCCTTAAAACCAAGAGTGAAATAAACGTCGTACACTTGTGAGAGACTCCCACAAATGTACAAGGCTCAAAACCTATTTAATTCATATCTGCCAATCCACTAAGATCTGAAATCTCAAAATAAAATCTAACTTTCAATAACCAAAGTTTGATTAGGCTAGAAGTGCACAAAAATTAATACAACTCTATCAGTACAATCATGACTATATCCAAACAAATTTAGCCTACAAAAAAATTATCTATATCTCAAAAATCTATGCCCAACAAGATTAGTCTAGTGAGTCTATCTCCAAAGTGAACCGAGACCAAAATATAAGTGGCTAGTCTTCTAGCTTGTCACTCCCCTTGGTTCCCCACGACCTTAGTCTCGTTACCTGAAATGGTGGACGAGGAAAAAATATGTGAATAACTCAATAAGTAAAAATATGGGTAACCCTTATTTAAAAGTTAAAGCATGACAAATAAACAATTTAAAACATAACCCAAAGGAAAATCTCAGTTATAAACCATTAATGCAAAGTAAAACTCAATAGTTGATGGGAATTAAGATGACAGCATATCTACTATGTCATGTGATCCATTACACATCCAAGGAGGTCCAGTCATGCGAGCTAGAGCTAAGAAGATGTGTGAAGCTTTAAATGGCCTTATTGAGCAGATCTGGGTTGAAAACAACATACAACAAGCAAATCGAAGTTTGGATGATTATTAAGGCATGGTAAACATCATTCAGGTTCAAGAGAAGCTTAGTTAAGGTCCTTTGCACGGAATTACACAGTTTGCGTCAAAATCGCACAATTCTGCCGCAACTTGTAGCAAACTGATATTTCATGTTATTTTAGGTTATTTTAGTGATTTTCACGTTTTTTGTATTATTTTTGGGCTGAACATTTGTTTATTTGAAGCCCAATTCGTGGTTATTAGTTTTAGGACTTAGGGTGTTAGTTTCCTATTCTGATTAGGATTTGTTTTCTCCAGTTAAAAGGCTTGTAACCCTAATGGGGAGAGGCGATTTAATCTAAGATTTTGAGAGACTTTTCTCTTTGGTTCGTTTAAGAACTTTACAGAACTTATCAAGATTATTCTTGTGGCATTCTAACCTGACTTATCATTCTTGTTCTTAATCGTTCAAGGGTGTGGCGTCAACCAACTTTATACCTCTGGTTCTTGTTGCGTCATAGACAACGGGTCAAGGTTTTTACCTTTGGTTCTTGTTGCGACATAAACAACGGGTCAAGGTCCTATCATAAACCTGATTTAGCTTTCCTGGAGTTTACAAATCCCTTGTTGTGCTGTGGGTCTCATTGTTCTCTTTGGGGTTCTCATCAACTTGGCTCTAATTTCTCCTTTCCTTACAAGTAATTGATTGAAATTACCTTTAAAAATGAGGAATCCATGTGTAAAATCAATTTAAATAATTATTGTTTGAGATCATGTTTTCTTCATCCATTTTGTCTAATTGGGTAATTTGGGAACTTATCTTTCAAAATGCCAATTAGATAAAATCATGATTTGTTACCGATGTTCGTTTATCATTAGGTGTTGAAAATTTGGTCCCAAAAGGAATTATCTAAGAGTTTGTTCACCTTTTCTCACTAGAGCTCTTACAAAGAAGATGGCTGATAAAGCTGACTTAGAGAAGGGAGCTCTTGAAAATTGAGTCGAAAACATAAAGAACACTTTGAAGGAATTAATGGTTTCCTTTTAATCTCTTCAAGCAACTTTAGTTGCACAGGCGCCTTTGACAACTAATCTTTTATTTGAAGAAAATGCTTCTGTGGCAAATGTCCCTATAGCCATAATATCTACATTAACTCTTGAAAAGGAGCCAATGTCATCCAACCATCCAAATTCGATTGTTGCTAGAGCTTCTGAAACAAAGCCATTTGTCCTAACTTTCCTAAATGTTAGTATTGCTATAGCTCAAACTAATGAAAATGATCAAGTTGGGACTCAAGTTGTTAAATCAATCACAAAGGATGAAGACAAGGCAATAAAAACAAAGGTGCAATTGATGAAGGAAACTCTAAAATCGATACAAGGTGTTCAAACCAATAAACCAATGGACATCTTGATGGGAATCAAGATGACCCCACATGTACCACGTCAAGAGAGCCATTACATATATTCCAGGAGGTCCAGTCAAGAGAGCTAGAGCTAAGA